TCAACAGATTCCATAAAGATTTGCATTCTAACTTTCCAAAAAGCATAGTTTTCTCTAATAAATAAAGGAGGTTTGTTGATAGAGGCACTCTCAACAAAGGTTTGATATTGCCCTGTCATTGAATTATTATCAAAGCAAGCTCTGATATTAATTGTCAGAGTAGTGCAACGAAATGGTTAACATACTACAAACCAAGAGGGGGCGAATTGGTTTCTTATCGCAAATGGTGGCTTTAAATATTTTCTCTTGTAATTTAAATTCCTTAACAATAAATTAAAAACAAATAAGAGAGTAAGGAACAGAAAAAATTGCACAGTTGATTTTATACTAGTTCAGATCACAAGGATCCTACATCCAATTGTTAATCTCAAATGAGAATTAACGATTTACTATCACAAAACCAACAAACGGCTACAATCACAAAGAAATAAACAAGTTTAAGGTTTAGAACACTTCTCTTGTTACCCCCAAGAGATGAAACTCACTTTCCTTGAAAGTCACAAGGGATGAACACCTCCTCTGAATGTTTCACGAAGGATGAACACCTCCTTTGAATCATCACAAAGGATGATAGGCTTTAACTCATTAGAAACAACAACACTCAATCACAACTCCCGTGAAAGTGCTCGCTTTATGCCACATACGTACATCTAATCCTAAAGATGATATGGCACCTGATGATACCGACACCTAACTACCTACATTACTACCACTACCGAATTTCGACATACCTTTGGAATGGACGACTACTTGATCTTTGCAAGGTTGCACTTCTCTTACAATCGAATACAATTTCAGAGTCGTCGAAAACTTCAAACAACTTCACCTTTTATATATAGTGTGTTAGTGACAGTTCACCTTCTAACCTAATGGGCCAAGACCCATTCCAAATCAGCCTACAAAACGACTCTCTCAAGGCAAAGCTTCAACTTCTGCACCATTTCTTTCCCTCTAAGGCAACTTCTCATTCTCGAACCTTCATAATTCTTACCAAACTACCGCTTCGGTTTTTGTACCACACTTACTCCCATCACTCACATCTTGTTAGATATGACATCCCATCATTCAAACCTCTTCGTCGCTACGCTCCTCGAGGCTGAGGGTTACTATACCTATAAGGTTACGACCAAAGACAACAATTTTTCTTTGCAAAATCACACACGCCGACTATTGGATACTAGTATCATAATTCTACAACTCAAATACAAACCGACTGTTGAAACTCTTTGCATGCCTTTGAGACATGAAAAGACAGGAGTGTTGGTGTACTGTAAGTGGCCGAAGACCCTTCAACCTTATCAATTATGATCTAAAGATAATTGATTAACCAAACACATATCGAATACCTTGTAACGGAATACTTGATACCAGATACCTTGTACCCAATAAAAGTTGCATGCCGATTACCGATACTTTGTAAAGGTTAAGCTGTCTATCGAAGACCAAAGACTACATGCTAAAGGAGTGAGCACAATACGTTATATAATAGATGTTGAGTGTCGGATGTCAAGTACCGTGCTCCTCCAACCAAAGACCAGGTGTCATCGGCTGATGGACGTGCTCCTCACTAGAGTCGGGTGTCGCATACCGATAACTATTTGTGCTCGCCAAAAACATCAATAAACCACGTAACTTAACCAAAATTGGTTGCACATTGCCATAGGTAAAATAACTATTGGACCAATGGGCCAATGGACCCATAATCGAAGCCTAAGGTTCACGATTAGTAAAATACTCCTATAAATATAACTTTAATCGAGTTTTGACTTTACTTTCCATATTAATTACACTTTGACCAAAATCTCAGACTTTGAACAATGACTTCAGTGTTAAAAAATCTTATACAAACATCCCACTTATTATTTTATAAAAGAGAAAGAACAAAGAAGATTAACAAAGCAAAATCCACTCAAAATATTTCAAAAAAGAAGATTTTATACATAATACTTGTCAAATTTGTATTATAAATTTCACACAATACAATACTTTGGTGTTTTCTTTTTCTAAGTGAACAATCTAATATAAATTAGGTTTAATACATCATTTGGTCCCAACTTTTAGGGGTTTGGTTCAAAGTGATCCTACCTTTTAAAAAAGTTCAGTAAGACCCCATATTTCGTTAAAAAATGTTCGATTCGGTCCTTTTCGCTCACACCGTTAAAAACATAACGGTGCAAATGCTACAGTGGCCAAACCTGAGTGAGTTGTGCAGTTTGATGAATAGATGGCTGAAAGAATTAAATGTAGAGAGAGAAACGTAAATGATTGTTTGAAGAATTAAATGTAGAGAGAAACGTAAATGGCTTTATCATCCAATATAATTTTCCACCCTATATCACCCAATAATGCATCAGTTTTATACACCCACCTCTAGATCCCATCCTATATTGTCCTATGTACTATTACACTCAATAATAACTCAAAAATGATATAATTTTCGAAACCCATAAAACTAGATATTTAAATGTTAAGACAAAATATATACTATTTGTATTTTTTCTGGATTACTTTCCAGAACACACAAATACACAAACAACACTTTAAACTCTCAAACTTACACAGCATACAACTTACAAAGTACAACCCATTTTCTCTCTTTCTCTCACGGTGATGCACAACTCACAAACAAACACATGACTCAATAATACATGCAACAACTCCACTCTTTCTCTAGTTTCTCATGGTAGTGAACCTTTCTCTCTTTCTTACACAAATAACTCTCACAAAACACCATGACTTTGCTGCACACATTATCGGAGACCCTTTCCTTTCTTTCTCTCACAAAACCGTGAGGCTTCTCTCTTCTTTGCATTCTACTGCCCAATCCCACGGTGCACACACTTACAAGTGTTCCACGCTTCTTCTCTTGCCACAAGGTGCCAATTTATCATAAACAAAAGCACAAACATCCAAATATAGTGACTATTTTAGTGCTCACTTTCGGTGCTCACATAATTACATACAAACAAAACATTTCCTAGTGCATGGGCCCAAACAAATATTTAAAGTTTACCTAACACACTCATACCATCATGTAATGACAGTACATTACTCCACATTTATACGACTTCCATACATTTAATACCCATAAAACATTCCATGCAATTACAAAATAATAATTTATTATACCCATAAACCCATGTTGGTATCTCTATTGAGAACACAACCCATCACCAATGCACTCTATTGTCATATTTCACTCATACAACATGTTAACACTTCCTACTCTTATTTACATTCTTAACCTAGCCAACCTACGACTACCCTCCAAAGATTCACGATATGCACTTTTCCCTTACTACAAAACCACATGCACTTCAACCCTTCAACCTGTGCAGTCATATTCTGGGAATAACATCCCAAACCATTTTTTTTCCTTAGCAACCCACAACCTTCCAATTGGGTATACTATCTATTCACATAGTTTCTCAAGATTAACAAGTTTCAAAAGAAACACATCATGCTCAATCAATACATAAAAAAGTTAACTCCCCTTACCTAGGTTTTCTAGTGAATTCTTTAAAGGCCCCTTGGTTCCTAGAAAATCCTGTGACTGCAACAAGGGCCCCTGCGCAACTCCTTGGTACTCACAATCTTCTCCCTATTACTCATTACGCTTATGGTGGAGGACAAAAAGTGATGGTTTCTCTCTTGCGTACTCTCTCGAGTTGTTCTAGAATGTAACTTAGGGTTGCTTCTTATTTCACACACAAGCCGCCAGAGGCCGCGCATTCTTCCTCCCCCGCTGTCGTCGTCGTTGAGGATACCCAGCTAGTGGCTCCCCCACGCTCCCAGGTCTCGCCGGATTCCCTCCAGTACCCACCAGATTCTCATTTAAGATTCATGGAGCTTATAATATAATGGCAAAGCTTCCCAGGAAGTTATTGGAAACGGGAGTTATCTGCTCTGCGGTGATTGTTATGTGAAGAGGGTTACTCCAAAGGCGAGGATTATTGAGGTGGAGCCCTCTGATGCAAATGCAATGGCGTTGTCATTCCATCATGATCAGAGAGTGATTTTGGACCAGGTTGGAGGATTTGCAGATGGTGTGGTTGTTGAGATTTGCACCTAACTTATCATTTTAATTTTTTTAAAATATTTACATTGTGCAACCTCTTCAAACGTGCCACGTATTCATAACACCACATTGCACCGTTATGTTTTTAACGGCGTAAGTGAAAAAGACCGGATTGAACAGTTTTTAACGAAATATGGAGTCTTACTGAACTTTTTTAAAAGGTAGGATCACTTTAAACCAAACCCCTAAAAGTAAGAACTAAATTAGGTATTAAACCTATAAATTAATATATACAATCATATGTAAATAATAAAAATAAAAAGGTTTAATCCTTTTCGACATCCCTATTTATGTACGAATGTCTCAAAAGGGTACTCGTTTTATAAAGTATATCAAAATGGTCCATAATTTTGAAAATTGATATCAATTGAGTCCTTTCCGTTAAGTTGGCTGGACGGCGTTAAAAAAATTGATGAGTGAATGCTGAGATGACGAACGAACGCTCGTCCACCAGCGAACGAACGCTCGTCCACCAGAGAACGAACGCTTGTCGACCTCTTACTACTGGACGACAGTTCGTTCCACACTGGACGACCGTTCGTTCGGTGGTCGACGAGCGTTCGTTCGCTGATGGACGAGCGTTCGTTCGCTGGTGGACGAACGTTCGTTCGTCATCTCAGCATCCCACTTATCAATTTTTTTAACGCCGTCCAGTCAAGTTAACGGAAAGGACTCAATTGATATCAATTTTCAAAATTAAGAACTATTTTGATACACTTTAAAAAACGAGGACCCAACATTCGTACATAAATAGGGATGTCGAAAAGGATTAAACCAAATAAAAATGATAGCAATGCTCTATAAAATTGGTATGATGGGCACGGAGTAGGATGTGCGCTAAATCTAATCAAATAATTATGTTAAAACATTGTATTATAACATTTTGTTTTAAAACATTTTGGAAAAAACGAGTATCCGATGATATCCAGTTTTTTTGTCACCCAGATTCCTTTTGGGCCCAATTTTCTTTCACCAAGAAGGGTCGTTCTCTCTTCCCCTCTTTTTTTCTCTTCTCTTCGCAGCCGCACCGCATCGCGTCGCATCGCTTATTCGATTGCGTTGCCTCTCTTGCGCTTTCTCTTTTAATATCCAATTTCATCACCTTCATCGCATCGGTAAGCCTTTTCAATCTCCCTATCAATCTTCAAAGCCTCTTCCTAAATTTCTAGGGTTTCAATTCTAATCCTCTTTTTTCCTTCTAACTTTATTTCAACTCATAGTGTTTCTATTTAGCCTTGTCTCGTGATCTCCAATCGCCTTCAGATCTTTCACGATTTCTTCTTTAGTTTTGAAATTCCACGTATTTGTTGTATTTTGGGTTTAGGGTTCTATAAAACAAAAAAGAAAAAAAGAAAAAAAATACAAAGTCGTTCCGAAGGGGGATTAGGGTTTTCCCTTGTGATTCACGCATTTAGGTAGCTAGAGATATATGGCGGCTGGGAGACATGGCGGTTACCGCGAAAACGACTTCAGAGAGCGCGAATCGAAACTCGAAGGTTCTAGACGCGGGCTTGCCAATTCGAAAGAGGATTACGATCGTGTTAGGAATGGTGGCGGTGATGTTGTGAGGGGAGGGTCCAGGGACAGGGTTAGGGTGAGGCAGAGGGATATTAAGGAGAGGGAAGGTGTTAATGGTGGGTACCGATCATCTTCGAGTAGGAGTGACTCTGGCAGCAGTGGCCTTGGTCCTCGCCGATGTGGTTTCTCTATCAAAGCAATGGATAGAGAGCCTGGTGAGCTTTCCAGTGAGAGTGGTTCTGATGATGCAATTGAGTCAGAATCTAGGGCGAAAGACTCCGAGGTTTCCATGTTGGAAGAAACAAGAACCCGATCCCCACCGGTGCCGGACAGGAAAAGAAAATTCTCGCCCATAGTGTGGGATCAGGATGACAAAGATGTCAGTGAGTCATCCAGAGTTAGGGTTTCTGCCTCTACGGTGGTGACAGCAGCACTTCCTCCTCCGCCTCCATTGCCAAAGGTATTCCATCAGTCACCGTCACCAAATGCTCCAAATGGTGTTGTACAAATACATCCTGTCAAGAACAAGGAGACCGAGGATCTCCAGTTGAATGCAGCATCTAAGATTACCTTGCCCTCTCCTTCTGGTTTGCATTCATCACCTCCGAAAGGGAGGTGGGGTAATGATCAGGAAACTGATCATCTAGAAGGTGAAGTTTATGTTCCAGCTCGCAATATATCGTCTTCAAGATGGGCAGCTGGAGATAACTCTCCTGGTGATGAGGGTGAGATCCTCAATGATGAGGAGATGCCCAAACGAAGGAGGAAGGCGTCTCCTGAGTTCTTGGATGGCAGACCAAGGAACAAGTTATTGAGCCCTGTGGAATCCAAGATTGAAGGTATTGAAGGAGCTAGAGCCAGATCATCTGAATCTGAAGAAAGAGGTGTCCGTGGGAGAACTTCCAGCAGTGATGATCATCCTGGTATGGAGTCAGAGAAGGATGACTTCATGGAGGTTGACCCTCAGGGTGGGAAAAGTGAAACAAGTGTCAGTCACTCCGAAACGGAATATGAAGATGAAGACGATGGTAGGGAGACTCCAGAACCTCCTTCTCCACCCCAAAGAACTGTCAACATGCTTCAGGGTTGTAGAAGTGTTGATGAGTTTGAGAGACTTAACAAGATAGATGAAGGAACATATGGTGTTGTATATAGGGCTAGGGATAAAAAGACCGGAGAAATTGTAGCATTGAAGAAGGTCAAGATGGAGAAGGAAAAGGAGGGCTTCCCACTGACTTCTCTTAGGGAAATAAATATTCTTCTTTCTTTTCACCACCCATCCATAGTTGATGTTAAAGAAGTAGTGGTAGGAAGTAGCCTTGATAGTATTTTCATGGTCATGGAATATATGGAGCATGACCTTAAAGGACTAATGGAAGCAATGAAGCAACCTTTCAGCCAGAGTGAAGTGAAGTGCTTGATGATCCAGCTTTTAGAAGGTGTGAAGTATCTTCATGACAACTGGGTGCTTCATAGGGATTTAAAGACATCAAATCTGCTTTTAAATAATAGGGGTGAGCTCAAAATTTGTGATTTTGGCTTGGCCCGTCAGTATGGGAGTCCTTTAAAGCCATATACACACCTGGTGGTTACTCTTTGGTACAGGTAAATGCTAATCTGCTTATATGTGCAATTTGATTATGTCTTTTATTTCTCTGTATGTGTGTATTTACATCACAGGCTATTTGGTATTTTACATTCTTGGGTATAGTTTATTTTTTTCTCATGAATTTTGGAACCGTATAGCGATGCTGTCATGTTCAATAATTCTAATTAAACTAGTATCTGTTTGAAGCTATTTTTAGTATGCAACGATGTAGCCTCATTGCCTAATAGTTGCTACTTTAGGTCAATATTTACGTTCTCATCCATCCTTTTTATGCAGCAGTAATGCTGTTACATGGGTGCATTGTCTGTCATCACAGATTTGTTGCACTTGCCTTCATTTTACTATTTTATCTCAATGTGTTTGACTACATTCTCTTGCAGAAATGAGGTTATTACCTAATTGTTGTCTATATGTTTCTCAGGGCACCTGAACTCCTTCTGGGGTCAAAACAGTATTCAACAGCCATAGACATGTGGTCTCTAGGCTGTATAATGGCTGAGCTATTATCTAAGGAACCACTGTTTAATGGGAGAACGGAGTTTGACCAACTTGACAAGGTATGATAATGTTATTTTCCTTACATCGGATATATTCTAGCATCATTGTTCTCTTTCCTTGTAACCTATGGTTTCTTGCACTTAACTACTTTGTGGTTGTTTTACAATTTTGATTTATGTTATTCTTGTAGATTTTTCGGATTCTAGGCACCCCTAATGAAGCAATATGGCCTGGTTTCTCAAAATTACCTGGGGTCAAGGTCAATTTTGTCAAACACCAGTAAGTGCTTACGATTTCCTTTATTAAGAAAATTACTGTTTGATTACATTGTGCTTATGTTTTGCCACTGTTTTCCCAGGCTTCCAGCTTTGGGTGGTTCTGGTCTGACTATCTGGCCTCCCTTGGTGACTTGACTGTTGAACAACTTTTCTATTTTGTATTAACAGTCGGAATGTTCCTTTCAGGTACAACCTCCTGCGGAAAAAATTTCCTGCGACATCATTCACTGGATCTCCTGTTCTTTCTGATTCAGGATTTGATTTGTTGAACAAACTTCTAACATATGACCCTGAAAAGGTAAAGGTTACATGAGATACATAATTTAATTTGGTAATAAATATTTGTGTGAATATTAAGATAAGACACTATTTTATGCAGCGGATCACTGCTGAAGCTGCTCTAAATCATGAGTGGTTTCGTGAGGTCCCTCTCCCCAAAAGTAAAGAATTCATGCCTACATTTCCTGCTCAACACGCTCAGGACAGGTATTTTAACCTAATAGGAAATCCTGGAGCAGTTCTTTTATACCTAAAACATTACGTAACTGTTTTATATTCTTGACAGAGGAGAAAAGTTGTGTACAATATTGAGTCCTTATCAACAATTTTCAGTTTTGACAAGTTTTCACAATTTCTTCATATGAATAGGCGTGTGCGGAGAATATACAAGAGTCCAGATCCTTTAGAGGAGCAGCGCCGGAAGGAGTTGCAGCAGGGTGAATCGGGGACTGGTGGAATTTTTGGCTAAGAATGGTGCTTGCTAAGGCTGTGTCTCAATAATCATTCTGAAACTGCTGAATGTTTTAGTGTTTGAGGTGAGGGTATGCACTGAATGGAAGTTGGAAGCATGTTTGTTAGACGATCACTCGTGCTGTTTTTTAACAGGAACATTTTGGTTTAGCGAAGATGTATTCTTTTACCTCCCTGGCAACCAGATTTATTTCAGGTTAACATTCTTGATGCTTGATCATTATATAGAAATGCATCTGGGACATAGCTTGCTGCTCGAGGTGTGGCATTATTGGCTTCTAAAATTAGGAATTGTCAGTGTCTGCTGAAACTTTGTAACATATTTCCATTGGCATATTTGTAAACAAATTTTATCTGGTTTTGAGTATTAAAGCACTGGATTTTCTAGGAGCTATCTCTTTTCTTTCTATTTTAATATTAACATTGTGTTTGCAAGAGTTGGTTGGTGTGAAGTGCAAGAGGACCTTCTGTGCATCTTTCCAAAGAAATTGGGTGACGTTATGCATTAAAAGGTAATGCATTCCTTTGATATCTTGGATATTAAGGAATGAGGATATGTTTTTATGTGTGAGAGACAGTATCTCTAGAATTTGAAGCTATTCTAGTTCTTTGACTGATTTTTATTGTTAGTTGTTTTTTTGGGTAGTGGGTGTGTTGGTGTTGATGGAGGGTTCAGAGTACTTAGTTCTGTTTATGTTCATCTTATTGCTACCTGAACAAATTATTGGTGTTTATTATATAAATCAGCAATGGCATATATTATGAAGGACTTTCCCAAATCTAACTTTTGTGGATGAAGTGATCTAGTATGAATTATTTTATTGTGGATTCAACAATTTTAAGTAGAATCAATGATAATTTTTTTTATTTGAAGTGGTTGTGACCTCTTATTTATATGAGGACAATAACTAATTATTAGAAGGAAACATTCTATAATTTTATGGGTCCGAAGTAATGGATTTATTATAGAAGAATTTATTTGCTGGGATAGGTGAATGTTTCCAAATCTTGTATCTAAGTGAATTGAGTTACCAAAAATTTCATGGGTTCCTGTGCTTGACGTGTAGGCCATGATGGGATATTTTTGCATTAACTTTGTTTATGAGCTACTGTATTTCTATTTGAACTTAGTAAACACTAAGCCATAATAAAAGTGAAAAACAGGTCTGGATTTTTCCGTCATTCCTACTGGTTAGAAATCATCCCCTAACAGTTTTCTGATGTTTACAGCTGTGTTTGAAAACGTTTTTGTGCTCTTGTTCTGAACAGGCGCATTCTTGTATTGACATTTTTACCCCAATTGTATTGAGGCAAGATCAAATTGTCAATGAACAATTATTGATGTTCCATAAAATTAGCTAAGTTTTTTTACTGGATGCTTATTACTTTATTTTAAGCCT